ACACCTGTAATCCCAGCACTCAGGAGGCTGAGGCAGGAGGACTGTTGCGAGTTCAAGACCAGCCTGGGCTACAAACAGAGCTCAGGGCCAGCCTGAACTGCATATCGAGATCCTGTCTCAAAAAGACAAAACGTAACAGGCTCTAAATACCCTTCATGATTGATCCCATGAGGGAAAAAGATGCTATAGTGGAAATGATCACTCAGATTTTCATAAGACTAGGATTAACAGCAACCATTAAACACGTTGGCAAATCTTGCCCACTCTGTGCCTAAATAACCCTGGCAAGCACAAACCTCCTCCTTTGTCATACCCTAGGAAGGCCTGCCAATTACACTGTACTGACATGCATCATGTGCTAGATTTAAACAGATATTCGTCCTAACTGACACCTTTACAGGCTAGATTGAAACCTCTCCTACCCTTTCAGAAGCGGCCATGGGGGTAATCAAGGTGCTCCTCAAGGAAATCATCCCCCCTTTGAACTACTCCAGTCCCTCCTCAGTGACAATGCGCCTTCTTTCACTTCTCAAATAACTCAGGGATTGGCAAAGGCTTTAGGAATAAAGTATCATCTCCATTCTACATGGAGACTTCAGTCTTCTGGAAAGGTCAATAGAACCAGTGATACCCTAAATTGAGCTCTAGCAACACTGCCAAGTGATGTCTGCGCCCTAGCTCTGACTATTGCCAAGAGCCCTTGTGATGGTTCATAACACTCTCAAAACTTAGCTCAATACAAGTCCATTTCAGATGTTTTCTCAGAGGCTGTTTAAATCTGATGTGATAACAGACCCAGAGACCATAAGGCTTTTACCATATCTCATTAATCTGGGCCAAGCGCAATATGCTATCCAAATATATGGGACGAGAATATTGCAAGCTCCTGTCCCAGAGGGACCTCCTCGTGTCTGTCCTGGAGAGCAAGAGCTCATTAACACTTGGAAAGAAGGGACTCCTACAGAACAATTTAAACCAAAATGGAAAGGCCCCTCTTCAGTAATCCTTGCACACCCAGTGTAGTAAAGGTGGAAGAGATAGATTACTGGATCCATCTTTCTAGGATAAACCCCATCTCCCTTGAACTATCTGAAGAAAAAGACCACCAAAATTGAAAAATCTATTCCTGTCAACCTCTGGAAGACCTGAGATTTCTCTTCAAAAATCAAGGCTTCAGTGATGCTCCAAATACATATATGTAAGTGGGATCTTTCTAAATCCATGGTTCTTATGCTCTCAATAATTTATCTGACATCCCTCTCTGACATACGTTTTCCCCTGGGAGTGTGGAAATCTCACTTGCTTCTTTTACTTCAGCTAATAGTGAAGTGTCGTTCTTCCATTAGTCGAATAGTTCAATAGTCTTTTTTTCCATTAGTCAAACAGTTCAATAATTCTTACTTTTTAACAGTTTTTTTTTCTCTTCAACCTACTCAATGAGCCACAACAGAACGAAATTGGAGAGCACATAATCCCCAGTAGGTGGGGTCTAGAGCCCGTTCCAGCACAAAGAAGATGAGACACAGACCTCCACTCCCTCTGCACCCCATAAAATGTAATGAAGATATGTTTCTCATGAGGTGGCGAGATAGGGTGTGGCTAAAACTGGTTGGGAAGGGAAGACTGACAAAATGCCCAGGATGCACATGCAGAACAATTCTCAGAGCCCTGAGTGTGGACTTCCTCTGAGAACTCAGGCAGGTTTTGATAGCACAACCTGGACACAATGCCAGAGTGGAAAGTACAGAGAAGAGATAGTTGCCATTGAGCACTCACTACTGAGTCTTTTCTGGTAGCCCACCCTATGCTTCAGGATATATTTTAATTTTTTTTTCCTCTCCTTTTCCTTTTACTTGGCCCAGTCTTACTCTGCAGAGCCCATTATTTTTCCCCCACCTTCTGTTTTTCCTACCTTTAAGAAGTAGGCAAGTATGCCACCATTTATGCTTTTTTTCATTTAATTCTTTGTTCTGGAAAGAATGAACCTAGAAATCAATTCTAGAGGAATAATCCAGCACCCTAAAATCTGGTAACAGAGGGAACAAGGCAGCAAAGGGAAAGGGGATGATGAGTTGGAAGGGACTCAAACAGAGCCATGGACAGATGCCATAGCACTATTTGCTGAGAGGGCCAAAGCCTGGTATGAGCTGGATTTAACCCAC